AATAAATACAAAGGTTACTTAAGGAATAACGAACACATCTTAAAGGAAACTGAATGGAAATCTACCATCGGCAGTATAAAGTAATGAAAACAACCTTTCAGATGGAAGCTAAATGGAAATCTACTTTGAAAATAACAACGGAATAAATACATCGAGACAAATATGTATTTTTCTAATCTAATCTAGTTGCGAATATCTCTCTTTCCCCACTTACAATATATACAAATTAATTAATTTGTGCCTTTCCATCTCAACAACACTCTCTCGTTAAGAAAGAAAAAGTATCTAGAACCTTGCGACACCCTGTAAAACTGTCTTGTTTTATGTACCAAAATAAATACGCATAAAGCAGAGCAGGAAAAAAGTGAAAGATAAATGTAAGCACAAACGCAAACAGACAAACGGACCCCGTGGTATGTATACAAATTACGAGGGAGAGAGCGGGGAAGAAAGACAGAGAGAGCAGAACGTTCAAATCGAGAGAGGTGAGAGTTGGAAAGAGCGTGGCAGAGAGAGAGAGCGCGCGCTCCCGTTAAACTGTACATTTTTATTTCGAGTTTGAGTTTTGAGAATCGAGAACTGCTTGATTTGCCAATTTATCTGCCTTACTAACCCAAACTATATTTTATTTTTATCAAGAAATGTGCTTTTTGATTATGGAATGCGACAGCCAGAGACCCCCACGAAACCGCGTGCTCTTTGGGGCATTCAGAAGCGGGGAAAACATGACATGAGTAATTTACCGGCCGGCAATGTATGTTTTCATTGAGAGAGTGCATTGGCACCGTCAAAGCGGCAATAAGGCCAAGAGTCCGCGCTCTAGCTACAATATCTATAGCTTCTATTTGCCGTTTTCCCCCATCAGGCTATCTTATTGCGGCCTTTGTAATACTTTTTTTTTTGCTGCGACACGTCAATGTTAATGCTAATGACCTGCTCTAGTGCGCTCCCCAAAGTTGATTAAAAATACATTATCCGCCCGTTCCCACCCTGCTGAGTAACTGTACTCGCACGGTCCTCTAACCTCGATTTGAACCTAACAACAATAATCTTTGATTAGTGGCTCGCAATCATCTTGGTTAATCGTAAACAACACACTAACAAATCTACGAGAGAGGCGCCCCACTCTCTCCAGCTCCGCTCCCGCTCTCTTCGCTCTGTACCTTTTAGGTATATAAGCCACTGCGAGAGTGCGCGCGGTCGAAAAACGTGTGTATATCTATTTCTAGAATTTTTCCCGCATGAAAAGTGGAACTCGCCAGCAAGTGAATCATTTTTGGGGATTCAAAAGCGCGTAAACAAAACCCAAACTGTCTTCGATTGGCGCGCGCGATCGATAAGGTACTTACTTCTGCTGGCCTCTTGGTGCCTTTCACTGATTCCTTCGCGGGGGCAGCGGCGGCGGCGTCGGCGGCATCCTCGCCGTCCTTTGCCGTTCCGTTGTCGGCCGCATCGCCGGCGGCGTCGGCAGCGGCTGCCTTATCCTCGGCGGCCACCTTCGCTTTGAGATCGTCCTTGACGGCGGCCACATCCTCCGCCGCTACCTTCTCCACGGCCACATCGCCGTTGTTCTGTTGTTCTGTGGCTGCCGACATTCTGTTGTGTGGTTGGTTTGTTGTTGTTCCGGAACTGGGTATTAACCGATCGGGAGCGCTTTGATTATTGCTGTCGTGAAGAGCAGAGGGAGTTTTGGTTGTGTTTCGACAGTCGCTTGACAAGAAACCAGCGCAAGTATCCGGAGGATGCGACAGAGAAAGATCCAAAACGCACGAAGCACACAAACACACTGGCTGCGGCTCAGCTGCGGCCCGTCTATTTAAGCACTCTCGCTCGCCGAGCGCGGCTCGCTATGCGCTCTCTCGCTCCCTCTCTCTGGCCCTCTCTTTCGCTCGCGAGCGCGCTGCTGCCGCTCTCTCTCCCACGCCAGAACCGCACCAATGCAATACACTGAAAAACCGCCGCGGCGTTTGTACAGCCGCAGTCGGTGGCGGCAGCGCAGAGAGAAGACAACAACAACATCAGCAGCAGCAGCGCCCTCTGGCCAGCGAAAGATTTTGGAAATATTTTGCAGTGATTTCTTGTTCGATTAAAGAGTATAGTATAGCTATAGGAGGTGTATCAGCTGGAGCTACGAGATCCGCAAGGACATTTTCATAGTGTCCCTCTGATATCCCCCCGGTGCTAGCTGGGTTTTCTTATTTTTTCTAGTTCCTAACCACCGATATGTGTCCGCGTCGACGGCTCGTACAAGACTGAGCTTGCCGTCATTCGCATGGCTACAAATTGCTGGTTGCTTCTTCTTGCCGACTCTGGCGCGGCCCACTTTTTCGCCTATATCTCGAAGACCCCTATTCAGATCGGATCCGAAACCGATCGAGGGTATAGCCCAGGGTGGCACCTTAATTTTGGCGTTTCTCCCGCGGCGCTGCGATTAAAACTAAGTCTGCAATTGACAAGTTGAGTGGGTTTCTTGATTATTTTCATACAAAATCTGCTTGGGTTCCGTGAGTACAGTTGTGGGCGCGTTTGGCGCTAAATTTGAAAATTGCGCGCACCACCGCTGCTGCTGGGCTGGCTGGCGGTGGTGGTTGAAGAGGGGGAGGGGCGGTGGTTCAAGGGGGTGGTGTGTGTGTTCGTGTGTGGTGCAGTGGCTTTTTGTCGCTCTGTCGGTCGGGCGGTGGCGCCAGTGGGCGCGTGTGTGCGTGAGACAGCCGATGTTGCTGTTGTTCTTGCTGTTGCTGCCGCTGCTGCGGCTGATGGGAAGAAGTGTTGCAGCATTGTTGCTGCAGATGTGCGTTGTATGTCGAGTGTGGAGAGCCGTTCGGCTTGTATTTATAGAGTGGACCAGCAGCGTGGGCCGTAGCAATGTCGTCGCGGATTGGGGTCAATTGATTGGTAACGTGTGGGGAAGCGCAGGTGATTTCCGCGGCCTAGGAAAGTGGGGTTCTATTTTTGAGATTCTAACGATTTAATTGCCAGCAATTGGAGGGAACCCTGTTAGGGGTTATTGTTTTAAGCCCTAAAGATACATATATTTAATATACAATAACTTAGTTGTGAAATAGGTTTTTAAGAAAATCTCTAAAGAAACCCAAATTTAGTACGTATGTATAATAACCATAACTTTACGGAATATAAAATATTCAATCGCCTTTGTTTGTCCCACTAATAAGCTCAGCTTTATTATTCATACTTTTCAGATAATGGTTCCCGAATCTAGCGACAGAATCGCTACCGCGTGATTTTATTTGTTCCCCACTGAAATGCTTACATCACTTGTCTGTCGAGAGCGTGAAATGCTTATCGCTTGGTTCGCTTGAAGTTCTAACAGGGTCCACCCTCAATTCCTTGTTTTCTTTTTTTCTTGCCCCATTCTTTTTGTTGATCTCGCATTTGTGGTTCGGCCATTTGATGGTACTGTTCGTTACACGAACCGACTTGGTTCAGGAATTGACTAATATATACGAGAACTGCCGACGCGGCTATAACATATCACCTGGGAATCCAGGTGTTCAGGGGTATATTCGTTTTTTTTTAAATAATGGTGTAAATCGGTGTGTATTATTAAATGAAAGATCATTCAGAGGTTGATCTATGAAGTGAATTCAAAGGTTGGTTAGGCACATCTTTGAGATACAAAAATGTACGGATACATGTATCTGTGAGATAAATTACTCTTAAGCTGCTTTTTCAATGTGCGTTTAGGGCTAACATTCACTTTACATTTAAAAACTTTAAAATAACAATATTTAACAATGAAAAAACGTCTGTATTCCAGTTCACTGAAGGGAGGAGGTCTGGGTCATTTTTGCTTAGGTATTCCAGACTTTTATTTGATGTTCAAAAAGTATTTACCGTGGGACAAAAAATGGGTCCTTGCAAACCTTCTGTTTAAATTAAATCAAGGGATCAAGGGATACTTTTTCTGACCAGTATTTTGCAACATTTTTTAAATTTAATTTAACTTAGTAAACGTTATCTTGCAATACCAGGTATCCCGTAGTCGAGTTCCTGTCGCTCAATTCACCTTTCATACATTCAGCTATTTTCGTGCAAAGGCAAATACAAATACCTAGGGTATAGTTGGTAATCTGAATAATACAGTCGACGATAGAGCGAGCAGAACAGCCGGCATTCGATGGGGCGAGAGTCGCTTGTCGCTAATTAAAAGCGGCGAACCTGTTCCGAGGCATCGCCGGTATAGTAAACACCTGTAATCGTGGGCCGTCCACTGAGTTATCACATATTTGAGCAGAAGCGATGACTTTTCGCCAGAGCGTTCGCTGATAAGCCGATTTGCGCCTCCGTTTTGCAGCTTGGTTTCTGGCCTTTCTCCTTCCATGCCGCCCGCCGAACTCTCAGTATCCGTTCGGCGTTCGTTCCCCCGAGAATCGTGGGCCTTTCGCGCACCACTGCGATATGAATCGCATTTCTTACCGGTGCCGTCCCGTGAAGTCTTCTCTCTGGCCAGTGAACAATGGTATCTAGCCTCTCGAGGACAACCCGAAAAAATTTCCTGAAGTTATCATACCGAGGGTATGGTACGAGTATGTCGCTATTTCAAGGTTAAGCGATAGGAACTGCTGGAAAAAGCGATAAGAAAGGTGCTGCTACTGTCGACAGTCAGGCAGACGAAGAGCCTGGGTTTTTAAAAAGGTCCTATTTCCAGGAATACCAACATCTGTCCATTGGTTTACCACCTAACCTTTCCCAAGTTTCCTGTTAAGTTTCCATCATAAATTTGTTTTCTGCATAATTTGCTATGTATCTTGTCCCTGAACTGACCTACCACAAGAATTTCTCCCAGTGCACTTACACGTTGCGTCATTAAGTTGCTGTAGCATAAAGGTGTGAACAAATCTCAATGCAAACAATCGATAGCCAGGCGCTCAAACATGTGTATCTAGGCACACACATCAGCTTGTATTCATGGCGATTAAGTTTTCAGTTCTCTCTTGACTTACCTACGGTGCTAATAGATCCGTAATGAGGTTGTTAAGTTTTTATGGGCGGTAATTTATTGGGATCGTTTGGGGAGTTATACATATATCAGTACATTTCAATCTATGTGTTTTTTTTTTTTAATTCTTTGACAAGGCATTATAAGTTAAACTTATAAATACACATATTTTCTGGGCATGTTTTGCCACATTAATAATCATAAAATGATTAAAATCCTTTGATTCCGTTTCCCAAGTAATATTTGTCATAGTTTTTAGAAATCAATAATATTAAAAAGGTGAAAAAATATATGAAAGGTCTATAAAATATAATATAATGTTTATAAATACCACTGGAAAAATTATGTTATATTATTCCCAAGAGCTTGAATTCCCACGATTTCGCAAAATTTTATCGAACGGAATGGAATTTGGAAGAGGTCCGCAATTCATCCAAAAATTTGCGGAAAATGCTTATTTTGTTCAGGCTCATTGTTTATATTTTTTATAATTCAGATAATGGCTTGACCGATTCAATACTGTACCGCATATGAGTAACCACTATAGCCCGCCCTTGGAGCGTTTCTTAGGTACATGACATCGTTTGGTAGAACAACCTGAACAGGTTTACGACGCGATTAGAGAGACTGTTAGAACGGTTGCTAGATAGTCGATTCGCTTGGCCGCTTGACTCGGGCGGCTCTGGCTTCGGATTGGCTCTGGATTTGGAAGACGGTCATCGCATCTACGCTGAGACCCTCTCGGGTCTCGTTTTCCCGGCATGTGCTAATGTTTCCACACGAGTGCCGCATGGGCCACATGGGCCGGCTGCTCTCTCTTCTCTCTGCCCTTGCCCGCGCGCGCTCACCTGTTCCACCTGCGTCAACGGGCGGTTTACACGCAATTATTAAAATGAATTTCAGCGGGACCCATTGTCTTCGATTTTCAATATTACCCTGGAACAGAGCAGGTCCTTTGGAGCAAGGTGTCACTGCGAGTGGGTCCCGGGTGCTTGGTGGCGCTTTTAATTACGCAGACTACCTACCCGTGACGTGTGAGTGGACATTCTTCCGGTGATGTTGTTGAGAGGTGAGAGAAGACAGCCACAGTGCATTGCTGCGACTGAAAAGCACCAGAAATAGGCGCATCACCATCATCAGCTCAGAGAGATGCCGGTCTAGCTGCATGGGGGGAGGTAGAGATAGATATTGTATCTCTATCTACATATGTAGAGACATCTAGAGTAAAATAATATTCGTAAATTTATAAATAAACTTCATAAAGCATTTAAATAAATTAAATACAAGAAATTAAGATAAAATTGGTTTGCCTAGATCAACACGGCTGCTGATGTTGGTCAAGAGTGTTATGTATCTTTGAGGTTGGAAACTATCTTTGTTCTCTTTTACTCTAAGATTTATAGATATAATAATTAAATGTATCTCCCAGGTTTATAAAACCCTTATGTTTAGCAAGAAAATCGTCACAAGGACAGTACTGATGCTCTTCCTCTCTTGGCCGCTTTTCACACTCTTCCATTCCTCGTTACCTTTGTTGCCATCTGCGTCATGCATTTCGCTGCATTGAGCACTTGTGGTGGGCTGTGGGTGGTGGTGCTGTTGCTACTGCCAAATGCTGGCTGCTGGTGGTTGCTCAAACCGGCGGATGCGAGAGAGACTGAGAGTGGTGGCCGCCCATGAATGAATCATTTTGGGGTAAAGAGATGAGCCGTGGTGGAATCATTGGCATTTGTTTTGTGCGTGAGCGAGTGTCTGTATGGGTACAGCCGAAATAAAACTGCGGCCAATAGCCCATCGTCCATTCAGCTGCTTTTGTGTGTGAATCGTCTTTATTGGGCCCGAGCAAAAATCATTTATTTATTTAATAATTACATATTTACACATGCCAAGGGGCGGCAATTATATATGGACGAAGCTGTGTGTAAAAGAAATTCACATACTAAATCAGTCAAAATTATTGTGAAGTCTGAGATGTTGGGATGTAAGATCTAAGAAGGCAAAGATGTTTTTCCCACTGAAATAAAACTATATTTGCATCTTAAAAAATCATCTTAAAAGAAGAAAAGTGTTACTGTTTTAATTTTACGTTTCTGAAGTAGCACCTATTGAAAAAATTCTATGATAGTCAGTTAAGGTTAATCAGATATTGGTTACGAAATATTACAGTTTATATGAAAGTAACCTTCACATATACCTAAAAAAAATAATTCAAACATTATTTTACGGAAATAGTTTTCATTTAAATAAAGAACTTAACAAATAATATACCTATTAATTTCTTATATATGAAAACAATAATTCTTTTTGATGTTTATTTAAATTAATTTAAATCATTTAATAAAAACCATTAGGCGCCACTTTGATAATCAAAAACCCAAAGCTGTTTAACAACACTATTCCGCATTTATCTTGCAGCACTGTTTTGGCTCCAAACAATTGGCCGTTGCGATGTTATCGATAAAATGTCACCTCTAGAATCAACATGCAAAAGTGGAAAACAACCGGCGACCCACAAATGACCTTGCCAAACAGCGTTGCCAGACGGGGCGCCCACCCCCCCAAGTTTGTTTGTATGCAAATTCCACTGTTTTTCAACTAAACCACATATAGTTATGCCACTCTAAAAATTCTTTATAGCGAGTCGCACCTTTCTATCCCCCAAGATAGCCCGAAAAATGCTTGAAAAACCACAAATTTGTACATGTTATCGGTTCCAAGCTGCAAGGTTGCCACCTTACTGGACTCTGCCTGTGTGTGGGTGGTATGTCTGTGTGTTCAAATTGGGCAAAGAAGAAGAAGATTCGCGAATTAATCAGTGGAATCTTATCCCGGAGTCTGTTAGCACGCACCAAAGAAATCCTCAAGATGGCCTTCAACAAGCTGAGCATTGAGAACCTGGACTTGGAGGGCAAGCGCGTGCTGATGCGGTAATTGGAAATCCATTTTTCATCCTTTTACAAAAAACCGTTGCATAAACTTTGAACCGCTTTTCGCAGGGTGGACTTCAATGTCCCCATCAAGGAGGGCAAGATCACCAGCAACCAGCGTATCGTGGCTGCCCTGGACAGTGTCAAGCTGGCCCTGGCCAAGAAGGCCAAGTCGGTGGTGCTCATGTCCCACTTGGGTCGTCCCGATGGCAACAAGAACCTTAAGTACACTCTGGCTCCCGTGGCCGCCGAGCTGAAGACTCTTTTGGGACAGGATGTGACCTTCCTGAACGACTGTGTGGGCGGAGAAGTTGAGGCCGCCTGCAAGGACCCCGCTCCGGGATCTGTCATCCTGCTGGAGAACGTGCGCTTCTATCTGGAGGAGGAGGGCAAGGGCGTGGACGCTAGCGGCGGCAAGGTCAAGGCCGATCCCAGCAAGGTGAAGGAGTTCCGCGCTAGCCTGGCCAAGCTGGGCGATGTTTATGTGAACGATGCCTTCGGCACTGCCCACCGCGCCCACAGTTCCATGATGGGCGATGGCTTCGAGAAGCGTGCCGCTGGTCTGCTGCTCAACAAGGAGCTGAAGTACTTCTCTCAGGCTCTGGATAAGCCCCCAAATCCCTTCCTGGCCATTCTGGGCGGCGCCAAGGTCGCTGACAAGATCCAACTGATTGAGAACCTGCTGGATAAGGTCAACGAAATGATCATTGGTGGCGGCATGGCCTTCACCTTCCTGAAGGTTTTGAACAACATGAAGATCGGCGGTTCCCTGTTCGATGAGGAGGGCTCCAAGATTGTCCAGAATCTGGTTGAGAAGGCCAAGAAAAACAATGTGCAGCTGCATCTGCCCGTGGACTTTGTTTGCGGTGATAAGTTCGCCGAGAATGCCGCCGTGAGCGAGGCCACCGTGGAGGCCGGCATTCCCGACGGACACATGGGTCTGGATGTGGGACCCAAGACCCGTGAGCTCTTCGCGGCGCCCATTGCCCGCGCCAAGCTGATCGTGTGGAACGGGTAAGAGATGGTCTCTCAGTTTGTTTTAAGTTAAACTACATTTTGTTTTTTATGCATTACAGACCTCCCGGCGTTTTTGAGTTCCCCAACTTCGCTAACGGCACCAAGTCCATTATGGATGGCGTGGTGGCCGCCACCAAGAACGGCACCGTCTCCATCATTGGCGGCGGTGACACTGCCTCTTGCTGCGCCAAGTGGAACACGGAGGCCCTGGTCTCCCACGTCTCCACCGGCGGCGGCGCCTCGCTTGAGCTCCTCGAGGGCAAGACACTGCCCGGAGTGGCTGCTCTAAGCAATGCATAAGCGGAGCTTCTGCTGCGCTCGCTCTCTGCAATATTTATATGTTAATCCCGACGTTTATCTTGTAAGCACAAAAAGTAACCAACAATTAGTAAAAAGTTAAAGTTGAATCTATTTGTTGTTGTGGAGCCATACAAACATCCATTAATGCATACGAAATAAAGGAATTTTAGTTTATTTGCGTGCAAAGTTGGTGTCCATCGAGGAGGCGGTGCGCTGGATGTTGTTCCGATTGGCTCGGATGCGATCGCCAATGGAGTTCTGGTTGGCAATGGCCTTCTTCACCTCCTTGTTGATGAACTCCTTGTCGAAGTCGCGTTCTCTGTTTTGGGCCTCCTCTCGGGCATAGGCTTCCCGGTGTTTGCGCACAACCTGGCTGCGATCCGCCTCCCGCCAGGTGGCATTGTCCATCATCTCGCGGAGACGAGCTTCTCGATCGGCTTCGCTAAGTTTGGGTTTGCCTGCAGGCCGTGCAGAAGGAGGATCCCTTTCCCTTCTTTGGGACTCTGGATCTCGTTTTGGACTCTGACTTCTGCTCCGTTTTGTTCGGGATCTTTCCTCGTGGCTTCTACTCCTGCGTTTCTCCCTTATTTTGTGGGTTTCCCTTTTGTTTTCTGGACTGCGGTGTCTATTCCTCCGCTCCGCTGGACTCCTGCTTCGCCGCCTGTCCCTTCTTTCCTCTGGACTTCGGCTTCTCCTCCTTTGCCGGATGTTATCGTTTCTCTGTTCTGGACTCCTGCTTCTTCTTAGCTGCTTGGAAGCCTCCTTCCTGCCCTGAAGACTTCTGCTCCTGTGCCTTTCCCTCTGCTTTCTGTTATCTGGGCTTCTGCTTCTTCGTCTAGAGCTTTCATTTCTATCCCTTTTTTTTAGATCCAACTCCCTGGAACGTTGTCGTCTGGGTCTCTCCTCTTCATCACTGCTATCGCTGCTTCTGGATTTTTTGCTCTTTTTCTTCTTGGTGGCCATGTCCAGTTGTTTAGATATCGTCCTGTACTTGGCGTCCAGCAGCTTGTCCAGCTTTAGGTCACCGTTGCCGGAATCTCCCTTGAGCTTGCTGACTTGGCGGGCCAGCTTTCTGTCCAGATCATCGTCGCTGTCACTGTTTTCACTGCTGCTGCTGCTGTCCTCATCGCTCGATTTTCTGTTCTTTTTCTTCTTTTTCTTGGATTTCTTGCTTTTCTTGGACTTCTTCTCCTTGGCGGCCTTCATTTCCTGCTCGGTCTTGAGGATGCGATGGATTTCCTTCAGTTTGACGGGATTCTCGAGAAGTTTTCGGCGGGATTCCATCTCACGCTGCTTGATCAGCATCAGTGGATCTTCGAGAGTCTTGCGCTGCATGTCCACCTGTTCTGTGGATTGAAGGTTGCGATATTCCCGAATGGAAAAGGGCACACAGTCGTGCTCCACATGGTTGATGGACTGCTTGACTCCAACCGTATTTTGCTCCTGGCGGCGCTCCTCGGCCTGCAGCGTCTCAAAGGACTTGTCTATCTTGCGGCCCAGCAGGTACTCTTCGCGATTGATCAGCTCGGTGCTGTCTGGAATTTAGAGTATCTTAGAATTAGTTGCTTTGAGGGAATTCCCAGACAAGTGACTCACTTTTGTACATCCATTCCAGCTTGGCCTCGCCGCCGCCTGCTCCGCTGTTGGTCAGCACCCCGGAGCTCTCTCCCAATCTTCGCAGCTCCTCTCTATCCCTCTCATCGTTGATCTCCTTTCGCAGATCCTGTAGTTTGCGCTCCTCCATCTTCGCCTGCTCCTCGGCTTTCCACACACGCTCCTGGTTTTTCATCGTGTGCGGATGCCATGATTTCTTTAGGTTCTGCAAGGGCAATTAACCGCTGTTAGTCCGTATTTTGTTGGGGAACATAACTTACCAAGTCCCCGCCACCCATATTTGGGTTTATTTGTGTTTTTTTTAATGTAAAACAAACGAATTAAAAGGAATTGTTTTCTTTCCCTCCTTTTCTTGTGTTTTCATCAGATGTTCACTGGCAGGGTAGCCAGATCGCTGCATGCTGCAATGGTTGCCAGAAGGTTGCCATTTTTAAATATTTGTAAATAAATATATATTTAAAAAATATTAAAATTAAAACTGTTACAAGCTCAAAATTTTACTTCCCAAATTTAAAATTTAATTCTGGTTACTTTTAAAATTTAAAAAATTTTATTTTAAAAATTTATTTTTAAATTGTTCATTTTACGTATGAAATACTTTTATTTTACTTTTCCATTTATAAAATTATAAAGGAAGCCTAGATTTCTGTGTATTATTTGTGAAGTAACGCATTTTTTCAGCTTGGCATGTTCCTTCTCTCAAACGTTTTTCCAAAATTTTTCAAAAATGTCCTATTTTCAAATATGTATTTACATGCACCTCAAAATACTTTGCTATGTGGACTAAAAAATGTGTCTTTTGCACGATCATTTGGCGAAAAGCCCGAGTGTAACGGCAAGGGAAAGCCGCTGAAGAAGTTGAGCCTGAAGAACATTGATGTAGCTGGAAAAAGAGTATTTATGAGGTAAATATCCTTTAAAATGTATAGAAATTTTTAAAATAAATCCATTCATCTGCAGGGTGGACTTCAATGTGCCAATGAAAGATGGAAAAATCACCAACAATCAACGTATTGTGGCCGCTTTACCCAGTATCAAATATATTCTAGATAACAAATGTAAATCCCTGGTAAGTTTATCTGTTAAATGTAGGTTTTCGGGAGTAATGTTTCCTGTTAAACCATGAACAGGTTCTTGCCTCACATTTGGGTCGCCCAGATGGCCAAAAGGACAAGAAATTTAGCCTAGAACCTGTGGCCAGGGAGCTGGAGAAGGTGCTGGACAAGCCAGTAAAATTCCTGGACGACTGTGTGGGGGACCACGCGCTGGAAGCTCTAAAGGATCCTACCGAGGGCAGTGTTTTACTCCTGGAGAACCTACGCTTCCATGCCGAGGAGACGGGCAGCAGCAAGGACGCGGACAAGAAGAAGGTAAAAGCTGATCCGGAAAAGGTAAAGGTATTCCGAGCCAAGTTGGCTCAGCTTGGGGATATCTATGTGAACGATGCCTTTGGGACTTCCCACCGGGCACATAGTTCCATAATGGGCGAGGGTTACAAAGTGCGGGCTGCCGGTTTTCTGCTCGACAAGGAATTGGAGTACTTCAGAAAAGTTCTCCACAACCCAGAGAAGCCCTTCCTGGCCATTTTGGGCGGTGCCAAGATAGCTGACAAAATTCCCCTGATCACCAATCTCCTAGACAGCGTATCCGTTATGATCATATGCGGAGGCATGGCCTTCACCTTCCTGAAAGTCCTCACAAACATGGAGATTGGAAAGTCCCTCTTCGACGATAAGGGCTCCAAAATGGTTCACGATATGATGTGCAAGGCGAAGGACATGAATGTGAAGATTCTTCTGCCTATTGACTTTGTCATTGCCAACAAGATTGATAAGAAACCCGATAAGATCGACCAGGCCGATGTCCAGCAGGGCATACCCAAGGACATGATGGGTCTCGATATTGGCGAAGTCTCCAGGGCCCTTTTTTCCGGTGCTATTTGTGCTTCCAAGACCATTCTTTGGAATGGACCACCGGGCGTATTCGAAAATGAACTATTTTCAGAGGGCACCAAGGATATGCTGGCGGCTGTAATCGGGGCCACCGAGTTGGGAGCCACAACAATTGTGGGTGGCGGAGATACGGCCACGGCATGCATTCTCTTCGGAGGAGCCGATAAGGTCTCACACGTGTCCACAGGCGGTGGGGCATCGCTCGAGCTGCTGGAGGGCAAGATTCTACCAGGAGTGGCGGCCTTAACGGATGCTTAAATGGAAAATAAATTGAATAAATAATTCACTTCAAGGAGAATTCTTTATATAAATTGTATTTTATTTTGGAATAACATGAGTCGTTGGTTAAAACTTGATAAAAGAGCTGTCCTTTTGGCTTAAACAGATCTCGTATAGCTAGTAATTTATTTAAAATTTTCGCTTAACTAAAAAAAATTAACATTTCATCGTGTCTTGGCTATGAAAGCTTTTCGGGAATAGTAACTGATGACCGCAATATAAACTTAAATTTGGTATTAATCCAACATCCACACGAGAACGGTTTAGAGCCCAACTCTGAAGGGTAATACGAATGGGGAATAACAGGGTTTTAACTTAGTCGAAGCTTATTAGTTCCGCTGTGGCCGGTTCGGCTGCCTTGGCGCTCGGCTCTGGTTCGTTTTGGGGCGGAGCTGGAGCGGCAGCCACAGCTTGGACTTGATTGTTGGCTATTTCGGTGACCGGTGGAGCCTGGGGAGCAGCAGGTGGAGCTTGGTTGGCCAGCGGGGGATGGGTTTGGACCACATGCTGCTGCTGGAGCATCACGTGAGCCAGTTGGGGTTGCTGAGGAGGAACAGGTTGGGGCTGGGGCTGCTGAATGGGAATTTGCTGTGCCTGCTGCACCGGAAGGTGTTGTGCTGGTCCCTGCTGCAGTATAGCTGGATTGTTGGCGAACTGATTGTCAGGCATGGCTTGAGGCTGCGGCTGCGGCATTATGTGGGCATTTCCAGGCGGCGGCGGCTGCTGCTGCATCATTGCGCCAGGCTGCTGCATCTGTGCCTGCATTGCTGGATTGTACATGCCCGGTGGAATACCCTGGAATTGTTGACCATGTCCATTGGGAGCGGGAGCAGGAGCAGGTCCTGGGTAACCCGGAACACCAGCAGCGTATGGATTATAAACGTTGTTCAATTGATGCGAAGGCGAACCATGTTGCGGCACTGCTGACGGTGGCAGGTAGGGGAATGGCGGAACCGCCTGACCCATCAAATACTGCGCCTTTTGCTGCTCTTGGCGCAGCTGCATCTCGCGCTCCTGCTCCTGGATACGTTGCAGTGCCAACTGACGCTGGTACTGCAGATACTCCTGCTTCTTCTTCCGCATAATCTCCAGCTTCTGGGCCATTTGCATCTGGCGCTGACGCTCCTGCTCTTCGGCAATCCTGCGCAGCTTCTCCACATGCTCCTGCCGCAGCTGATCCAGAGCAGCCCGCGAATCCTTGATCTGGGTGAGCTTATCCTGGAGCTGCTCGTACCACATACGCTTGTCATCCATCTCCTTGATGTAGGAAAGCTGCTGCGAGTGCAGAGATGTCAGAGTCATGAACAGAGTCTGCACTGAGGAATCATTGGAGATGCTGCGTCCACGACTCGAGTTGGACTTCATGCGGTTCACAAAGATCTCCACCTGGGTGCGCATGTTGGCGGCAAACTCATCTATTTGCACCTCGTCCGCGCTCTTGGGCTGCAGCGAGAGGATACTTTGCTGTGGCTGCGGAGTCGGCGGCATGGGACTGGGGGCCGAGGGACTAGCCATGGATGAGGACTCGCTTATCTTGCGCTGCTCCCAGTAGCTGCGATTCAAATACTTGGCCAGCTCCGGATTGGTGGCCTCTTCTGCTGGCTGCTGGAACTCCTTGGGCACTGGCGGCGCCTCCGGACTGGGGGATCTCTGCTGCATACGATAGGCTGCAGCGGCCGAGGACAGGGATTGCTGCTTTTGCTTCTGCTGCTCGGCCTCCGACTGACTGAGAGCCAAAGCCAGCTGCAGTTCCTCCTCCTCCTTCAGTTCGGCCTCGGTCTTGCGAGCGGGTGTCTGAAATGTATTATTTATTATTTCTGTTTTTCCTTTATTTATTTCGAGTGACTCACCTGCACCTGCTGCGACAATGAGCTGTTTAAATATTCTGCTGGCAACTCACTGTCTGCCGCCCGTGCTGCTGACTTTCCTCCAGTGACACCTCCGCTTGTGGGACGCTGGAGAGCCGCAAAACAGCCATCGCAGACACGCACCTCCTTCTCAATGCCGTACTTGGGGAGCGGACACTGCTTGGCCGTGCACTGGCCACAGAACACCTGGCCGCAGTTACGGCAATGATGCTTGCGATTGGTGAAGGTGAACTCCACGCGACAGCGATGGCATACCCTGCCATCGGCCCAGTTGGGTGCCGTGTCGGCGGTGAACATGGCGTCCGCCTCACGAAGCTCGGGGAAGGTATGGCCCTTGGCCTTCAATATGGTCATGGTGTCCTGGAAAGAGAGATTTTTGTATTAATTTAGGCGAGTTCTATGAGATTTAACCAACTAGGGACTCCTCTTCAAGACTAAGTTCCTCCTCGGAGCTCATTTTGAGGCAACTGAGGGGGTTTTAGTGTAGACAAAACGCTGGCTTTTTCGCTAATTAAATTAAGGGTAAAACACAGGGAGGGATTTGGGCCTAAAAGGGGACTTACTACGGGAGGGAGAGTGTAAGTTTTGAAATAGTAAATCAGGTATAAAAGTTAACGATTCTAAAAGGATAAACATCGAAAAAATTAATTGCATTAAAAACAAATATTTCAAGCTATTTATGATTACCTTAAATAAACTTCTTCATAGAAGAAACAGCCTAAATGTCATTCTAAATATAATTATGTCAAATTGAGAAGAATTTTCAACTATTTCAACTTTGACAAAGTTCTAAATTAACCTAACTACGCCCCTGAACATGGTGAATACTAAAATACAACATGCTAGATGTTGAAATTTCTCCAAAATACCAAAGAAAACCGAAATGAGAGCCCACCTTTATAGCCTGATATTTGTCCGATGAGCGAAAGGCATTGGCCCAGGTCTGCACCAGTTCCAGCATCTTCTGGCGCACGTTCTCGTGGGGCGTGGACTCCAGAAAGCTGCTAAACATCTCGCAGTTCTCCTTGGTAAAGACCTCCTCGTGAACAGGGGCGCCGCAGTTCTTCACAATGCTCTCGAGCACCAAAAGCGAGTAGCAGGCGGAGTGAGGATTGGGTGAGTTCATCTTCTTCTTGATTGCAGCAAAGGCTGTTTTGGGACTGCAAGGAGTAGATGCTATTACCAGGAACATGATAAGAATTCCATCAACTTACGTGACGTCTTTCTGATTGATTTCATCGCAGATGAGGAGGATGGAGGGCCAGTCCGGCTCCAAGCGCAGATGGCTGGTGGCATTCTCTGTGAATTGAAGTTCATTATTAACTGGTCTTTGTGCATTTTATCTCCCTTTAATTGCGCTGCAGGTCATTCGCTTTTTGTTGTTACTTCTTGGAAGTTGTTTTTCGATGAGTCACTTTTATTGGTCACTTTGGACTGCAGGGTTTTTCCGGGGATTCTCACCTAAATTCTTGTCGAAACTTGATCGAAACATGATGGCGGTTGCTTTCCACTGCTTCTTGTCGATGTTTTTCTGATATTTTCACTGGTTTTCTAATTATAAAAAATTGTTTTGTTTGGCGACTGCAAAGAAATGTTTCTGCAATATGCGCGGCGCTGCCACATCGGGTGAATCGAGCTGCCAGAAATATGGGCTGCCAGACCGCGCAGAAGATGGTAACGGAAATATGAGTAAATATAAAAAGCTCTAAAATTTAAAGGAAATATTATTTTAAAACAAAGAAAATATAAAAAATAAATATTTAAAAATATAGATATATATATTAAATAAAATTATTTATCGGTTGTATTTTATTTTAATGCTTAATAAAATTATTAAATTACAATAAGTTTTTAAATGTTTTCTCTCATTTAAAATTCCGTTTAGGAAATTACAAATGTACTTGAAATTGATTTTTAAGATAATATTTTATAGTTACTAAATTTAGCATTAGAGTACTATCTTATAAATTTTTAATAAATCGAAAATGCGCTATAGTGATTTATCTTTTACTTACCATTAATTTTCCATAAAATTTTCCATTGAAAATTTAATAATTTTGAAATAGCTTTTGGCGTCTAACAAAAATATCAAATAATTGTGTTACTACCTAATAAATAAAAAGTAAATAAAAAATGCTAATTTAATTTTAAAATTAAAGTTTTATTTACCATTTCTTTCGTATTTAAGCCAAAAACCCACTTTCAGTCAATAAAACACATAATTTCCGGTTATTGTTGCATTTATTTGCCATTAAAACTCCGCTGAAACGACCAAAACTATATGGTGTTTTTATTCTCACATTGATTAGCTAAATCTACAAAAACTACGTAGACTTTGTAAAATTGTATTTCTCTTAGAACTCTTAAGGTTTTTTTTTTTTCATTGTAAAGGACGTACTAGTATGCCTTAAGCCTTACACCGAAACTATATGCATCGTAATCGTAATTAAACTTATAGGAAAATTTATACACACATTTCGTTGCCAAAAAAAAGGAAGGAAATAGTAAGAGTACGCCATAATTTAAACAAAATTATTCCGGTAACCAAATAAAATTGCAAATTAAACTCGCCATGTAGCTTTGAGATAAGTAAGATAATCTAAACAATGGACTTTAGCACGAACCAAAATCTTAGACATCGACTTGCCAACTTTCGCGTGCAATCTAAGTGGTAATAATAAGTATACGCAATGGTTAACGATGAACGGAGACCGCTCTCTCACTTTGGCGTGCGGGCGGCGCTGATCTTCTGCTTCTCGGCATCGGTGAACTCCAGGATGCTCTCGATGGCCTGCAGATGACCCTGTGAGTTCTCCTTGTCCGTGAGGAAGTAGAAGATGGCGCTCTTCAGGAATTGCAGCGTCACCTCCGGATCGACGTGGGTGCGATTCTTCTGGGCCTCCATCAGGCGACGATATATGGTCTAGATTTTTATGGTTTTTCGATACATACATAAATCGCGTGGGTTAGTTCGGAAAAAAGAAGACAGTGCAGAGAAGAATTAGAATTAGAATTAGTTCGAACTTGTAATCACAGGAGTGTGGTGGTTGTTAGTCGTAGAAATAAAATGTATTTACAAAAGGTACGCTGTAATCTTATTTTTGGTGGTGCCTTTGCCATATGAACATTTAGGTTATGGT